CATTTTTCTGTCTCTTTTGGTGAGCATCCTAGTCTTCAAACTGGCAGCCTTTCTAAAGGGAAAATCAACACAAAAAAGAATTATTTGAGAGCTAAAGCCCTTATTGGGAAATTATGAGTGCATAGAGTTATGCACATGTGATTATTTTATAATCATGGTCATCATATAGGCCCTAGGTTAGAGGATACATAGGGATCGTGAAAGTCCTCTCATTCTTGCCTCTGAAATCAATGAGAGTGTGCCGTCGCGCCTGGGGCTATAGAGAAGGAGGCATGGACGTGACTTCTTTCCCCAGGGGATTGCTTCTTGCCCTCCTTTAGGGAAACTGGAACTCCCAAGGACCAGAACACAACAAGTGACTCGAAATGGTGTTTATTGTTGACAATTAGTTCTTTCTTTGACACAAACGTGATGTTTCAACAGGGAAAACCACTTTATAAACTCTAAGTCCAGGGTCCTAGGAGTAATAAGCTGAGAAGCTTTTCCTGTTCCCTCTCTCTCAATGGCTATGGATGGTGGAGCAAACCACAACCCCAGTTTAGTGGCCTAAGCTGAAGGACAAGACCTTCCTATGGTGCCACAGAACCGGTGTGAAGGCGCCTGAGATCTTCACAATTCTATTCAGGGTGGTCTGAACATAAAGAATAAGACTCAGGGGAAATAAACCTAAGAACTGGTAGTAAAAAATGCCTTGACCAGGGGCTTTGGGCCAAGCTTTTGGACACGTCCATCCAATGAGTCTTTAACTGAGGTAAAAAAGGTGAGGGAGAAACCTTCCCTTTCTCCCTTGGAAGGGGCAGAGCCTAAACAACTGAACTGGGGAAACAAGCCAATTGGTGCACAACAACAATAAATTGACAGCTATAATAACCAATGAAATTTAACTATACCTGTACAAGGTAGACAGAAATAAAATGGCAGTTTAAAATCCTGCAACTAACAGTTCTAAATATATGAGGCGCCACACACGCCGTCACAGAGAGTGTGTTCTTTGTCCCTCTGCATTCCCTGGCATGACCAATCTCAAGCACAAGGAAAATTATAACAGGGGTCCTGCTTCTGCCTGTCTCAATGGATATTGCTCACAAGGGAGTGGGAACATTTGTCAGCAGCTTCCCAATTAACAGAAGAACAAACCCATATTGCTCACAGTGGCTGCTGCTTGGTATGTGGGATCTTTAGTGGGATCAGAACTGGATTCACTGCTTAACACTGTAACTATGGTTCTTATATGCTCACAACTTCCCAACAGGATTCTAGCCATTGTTGTTGTGTGCCTTTGAGCCATTTCTGACTGAAGGTGACCCTATAATTATCCTTTCACAGGGGTTTTTGGGTCTGAGAGTGTGTGACTCACCCAAAGTTATCCAGTGGGTTTCCATGGTCGTGGGAAATCAAACCATAGTATGCAGAGTCATAGACCAATCCCCAAGCCACTATACCACACTGGGTCTGCCATACCGACTGTATACATGCACTTCTCACTGAACATTTTTATTGAAGCAATGCAGGCAGCTGGTGGTTTGTATTTTTTTACTTCTTAAAAGACCATGTTGCATGTTTTAGAAGCAACACTTCCTCATGCAATAATCTCTGGGCTGCTGAGTCCCTTTCTTTTTTAATACATTCCTACTTTTGTCCGGATAGACCACAAACTGTGCTATTATCATTTTGTTTTCCACTTAGAGCCTATTGATCCATCTTGGGCTCTTGCTAGAGAAATGGGCTGTATAATGAGATAGTAAATTCTGACTTTTGTACTCATTCAATAATTAATAGAGCCATGTCAGCAGCAGTTTAAAATGCCAGTACATCTTTTCCTTTCAGGTTGCAATGCATGTGTTGTAAGACATATGTTTCTGGTCCCAAGCATTTGTATAAAGGATACTTAGTTAAGCTACATAGGGAACAGCCTGATACCAAGCTGGACAACTGGGGTATTTAGCCAGGACTCTATCTCAATTATCTGTAAAATATCAGAGTAGGGTTCTCCAGAAATTTTGACAGTCCTTGAATATGTCAGAGATACAAATAAAGATCTTTCACCTGCAAGACATTTGTTTTACCACTGATTTATTGCTGCTACTAAGCTGTAATCTTGTATACACTTACCTAAGAGTAAGTTGATTGAACTCAGTAGGATATATGCCAGAATAGGAAGGCATAGAGTGTCATAGAAAGCTAGCATTCTACATTTGCCCTTTGCAGTTTATTCAGTAAGGAGATGAGTAATAGTAAATCACCATTAGATGAAGTTGGTAAACCTTGACTCAAGATTCTTTGTGAAGCTGAACAATGGAATGTCAACAATTCCTTGACATCTACTTGAATGTCTCCAACATATACGTAAATAGATATTCACAAGTGGAAAGAGCAGTATATATATATATATTCAATTGGAGACCGAAGGTACACCTGCAATCCCATGGAATTCTGAGAGTTGTAGTCTGATTAGATGCCAGCACTCTGGCAAAGAATGCCAAGGACCTTGCAAAACTACAATTTATAGGATTCCATAACATTGAGTCTTGGCAATTAAAGTTATGTCAAACTGTCTTAATTTTGCAGTGCCCATATAAGCTCCCTCTCTAACCACATCAACAATCAGTTGGCTTCTACCACCATCCCTCTGCCTGGAGTACTTTATGAATTATTGTTACTAGTATTGTGGTGTTAATATTTTATGGACACAAGTTTGAATGGTTTCCGCTTGCGTTGCTGGATATTTTGTGATAGCCAGGGCCCCTTTCCCTTAAGGGGCCTCAAGGCTGTAGGCAACCAAGTCATGGGCAGATGATTCTGCCTTACTCCCAGGTGGCAGGGCAACTACTCAGTGACTTCTTTCTGAGTAGATACCTGCATCCCAGCACTAACCAGCAGGTGGGTGAATGAACTGCCATCAATGTGTAGGTAAATTTGTCAGTGCCTAGTTTGGATTCATTCTGTAAGCAATAAAGTTGTGTCCTTCCCTATCCCAGAAAAAGGTGCCATTCTTGCTAAACATGAAGCCCTACATTCACCTCTATGGCTGCCATGGTGAGAAATAGATATGTCAGATTTGATGAATATGTCATAGATTATATCCAGTGTAGGTTTGTTGTCTTCTTTAATATGATGAACAATTATCATAGCAAAAATAACACAATTGTAATTGTGGGTAGTATTAGCAATAGAAGCAGGGTTTTTTCACATGAAATTCCACTATTAGTTTGTGGAGTGCTATGCCAGTTGTGCCCAATGTAGCCGCATGCCTATTTCTTTTCCATTTTTTTTCCAAAAAGCATCTTATTGGATAGGTGGCTACATTGGTCTGGATGTTTTTGTGCCACTGTTAATGAAGGTTTATTCAAATTTTTTTGTTGTAAAATTTGTGACTTTTTTTCAGATGCTGCCTGAGAAGATCAATATAAAATTTTTGCACATTTAAAGAAGTGCTCCAACTCTAAAGCTGGTCTTTGGCCATGTCATAAATGGCATCTTTTTTTCTAGTGAAAGTTTTTGTTTGCTTGCATTACTTTCTGCTCAAATATTGATCTCCTGCCTATAGGACTAGGAATCACCTGACAACAATATTGTGAATGAGATGAAACATGGAGTGGAGGTATCCCTTTCCAAAGAGCCTTTCCTCAGAGAACTGTGAGTGGGGAAAAATGAAATAAAATTGCTATTACCTTGAAAATCCCTGCTAGAAGAAGACACCGATGATGGACAGTTTCAACCGGGAGAACAATGGATTATTGAGATAGTATAGCTATATCGTGATAGCCAACATGATGTAGTGTGTTTCAGTGTTGGACTATGGTAAGCCCCTCTGAAAGAAAATCTTATGAAGTAAACTCAAGATAGGTTTTAAGTTCAGTTCATAAGAACACCAGGAAATGAACATATTGCCCCCAAAAGCTTGTGCCAACAATAAAATGAAATACAAATGCAACAAAAGTGTGTTTAGTTGTTGTCACTTTTCTAAACCTTTGTGGCAAAAAATAGATGGGGCAAAGTATGTTTACTGATGCAGATGTCCAGAGCAGGAGCAGCTGGCTGATTTTACGTTTGCAGGTAGGTGAATCTGCCTTAATAATCCAAATATGAAAGGAGCTATCCAATGTTCTGAATCTCTTTTGTGAACAGATTCAAGCTGCTTGCCAAACTAAAACCTGATATGAATGCATCTGACTATTCCAGGGTTGGTTGGGCGGGGGACATTGGGACCCTTGCTATCAGTGGCAAAGAAAGTTATTAGGCTTCCATGCCATGTCTACCTTTGAAGGAGCACCATAATTTAATTGCTAAAGTTATAGCAAAATGGCTAACATGTTCATTACTTAGATCCAGGGATCTCATTGTAGTCACATTGTAGAGGCAAAAAAGAAATAGGTTTGCATCATTACTCTGCATGTACATGATGAAGCAGTGAGGATGTGGGAGAGTCCCACCCATGGGGAAAAAGCAGGATAAAAGTAAATAATAATAATGATAGTAGTAGTAGTAGTAGTAGTAGTAGTAGTAGTAGTAATGGGAGGGATTATATCTTAGGAGGCTTGTCCATTGCAGATCCTGTATCTTCTCCCACAAGTGAAACATAACCAGAAAAAGAGCTTCACTTTGTAGCTATTCTAGAGCTAGTCATCCTAAAGCTGACAAGCAATTTTTTTTATCTCCTCTTGTATTTTCTGCCAACAGACCCTATTGGATCAGGCCGACCCAGAGAAGCTTTGTGCCCCAATGAACGGACAGGAAAAAGCTGCTACAGAGCCATTATCTGCTTACAAATGTCCTTGGGTTTTCAGATAGGTTAAGCAGAATTGATCCATGTTCTCCTGTATCCAAACTGAAGTACTAGGTAACTCATCATCTTGAACACTGACATTTTATTTGAAGTGGGCAGAAAAACTTGGAGCCTCAAACACCAGGACAGATATTACATAGTAAAAATGGAAGTGAGGAGAGAAGAACACCTTGGAGGTGAAGAAAGAGCCAAAGAACATCCATAGAAGGCAACATTTCCATAGGAAAAAAATATTTTTATTTTTTTTAAAAGAATGAATTCATTTTGAAACAGAAGTGGAATGTGATCTTCATAGATTTCATTTTCTGGAAGGGGCTAACTGCAATGTAGAACAAAAGCAGACTTCAAAATCTATGATAATCTAGGGTTTTTTTAAAAAAGAGAGAGAAAAAATTATTTATAACTCAAGCATAATACTGTGTTACTTACAAACTGGACAAAGGAATTCTTAAATAAATATTCATGGTACACAATTACAGCACAAATATGCAGCAATTTGGCAACCTTTTTATACCTTTTTTTTTCCTGGATACTGTGCAAAGGGGAATGACACGGCCTTTAAACAAGCTGTAGCTAAATACATAGCAAAAAGTCAGATTTTATACAAAACATCTCGCTTAGACTTTATAAAAAACCAATGTTGCTCTATATACACAATCCGGTTAAGAAAAGATGTTTATTCTTGTTTCCATGTGTATTTTTATTTTATATTTATTTTTAAAAAGGTGAATAAGGCTACTGTAACACCCCGAATCCATATACAGTCAATCTGAATGTATTTACAGCATCTTCACTCTTTAGACATTGTGGTGAAAATTTCTCAAAAAAGTTAGGTGATCAAGGGGTAAACACAAGCAAGGCATTTACAGTAACGTTTCAAAGCTGAACCAAACACCAACTAAAGGTACAGTTGGCAAGATTGTCATTATTCTGCACAAGACACAACACAGATACACGGGGTCCTCCTCTTCCCCCCTCCCCAATCGGTTGCAGACTCCTCGCCATTGATTTGTCCCATACGATCTCCCCTTCCCCAGGTTGAGAACATAATCAGAATGGAACCAACCAACTCAACAATATTCTCAATTAAAAGGGAAAAGAAAATAAAAGGGAGGGAGGAAAACCCAGGCCCATCTATTTCCCCCTCCCCCAAAATAAAATCTGAATGACTTACAAGGAAAACTTTGCATGGATGGATTCACAGAGAAGAAGGCTTCAGGGGAAAAAAACTGCATCTGTATTGTAGTCAGTTACCATGGTAACCTCCCACAGGCCCTTGCTTCTTCTCCTTCTTCTCCGCTCTTCCCTCCCCTCCTTCCCTCCATCTCTCCTTCTTGGACCAAAATCATTTTCGGGTTCAGGAAATACAGAGAGTAATCATTTTGATGACAGTACATTTTTTGCACGTGCTCAGTGGAGGCTCTAGACCCTTAAAATGCTGTAGTTACATGTTCTTTCCAGTCCAGAAAGTGAAGTGTTGCCATGGGAACAGGACTATGTGAAAAGACATCTATTTTGCATAGCACATAAAAAAGTAGATTTATTTTCCCCAGGGTACAGAGAGGCTGGAGGCAGGACAACCACCAGGCTTCAAGCAGAAACTTGATCCCACAGCTCTCTTACTGGTGTCCAGCTCAGTTGCTCCATCTCATAAGGCAAGGGACAGAAAAACAGAAGCAAACCGAAAGACAGAATAGAAAACCCTCATCAGAATATTTTGCTGTTCAAATACATGACACAGATACGCTGACGTCATGATTCAGAGGCAGGGGTCGTATTTCCTATTCAACTAGTTATGCAAGACAGCTTAGAGGGCTTGGTTATTTTTGTATTTCCTTTCTCCGTACTGTTCTTTTTGGAGCAAAGCAATTTCAACCCCTTAGAAGTAATTACCTAATTGTTTCGCTTAAGAATGCTGACACAATTTAAGATTGATTTCATTGTCACAGATGAAGTTCACATCTTCTGGTATAGATTCTGTGCAATCTCAATATATAGATATATATATATTAGTAATCATAACAAAATCTGCTACTTATATCCCTTGGGTTCTATACACCTATTATAAATAAGTCGCACCTTACTCCCTCCCCTCTCTTGTGTCTAAAATGTGTTGCATCTTTATGGACCATGCAGTTTACCATGTGTGCTTTAACTCTGAAAGAGACTACCCTAGTAGCAGCAGTGTCTAGGACAGGTTTACCTCGCAAATGCACTGCCAGAAACCAGAGCGTTAATAGGCTCGGTTGGAGGAAAAAGTAAAATCCTGATCAGTTCCGAGAGATGTGAATGCTTGTGTGTGTGTGTGTGTGTGTGTGTGTGTGTGTGTGTGTGTGTGTGTAAAAGTGATGGAATCATAGCCCTCTTGACTGTTAAGCTTGTGATTTTGTTCTTCCATGATAGAAGTTACTGTTTTTTAAACACTCCCCCCCACACTTTGTGAACAGATAAATGTGTTAAGTATAGCAGCTGTGTCTGCTTTTCTTTTCTCAATAAAAAATGTCATTTCAAGCAGACCAAGATTTTTTTTTTTTTTTGCTACAGCTAGCTCAAAGCTGTGCGTCTTATTGCTGGTACAGTACCACAGCAGTCCTGCCCTAATATATCACCAATGGCCTTCTACTGTCTTGTCTTCTAGGCACATTCACCTACTTACACTCTTTGTCCTACTTTGAGAGAGAGGAAACTATTTTCTCCTGCAAGTTACTATTGGAGAATAACCTTGGCATCCTTCCACCATGGACCTGAATCGGCTGTTTGTGTGTTGCTGTGTCTCACATGCTGCTCAGAAGTCCAAATGTCAAAGTGCTGTGCTATCTACATTGTTTGGCTTTGCCCGGTTGAGCCTCCAAAGGCTGTAGCATTTCATCAGCCCTTCCTCCTCTCTCTCTCTTTATCCACACACCCCTTCTCTTATATTCTTGACTCTACTGGCAAGCTAGCTTGTAAGCTAGAAGATTCCCTTTTTAGCAAGCCTGGGTTCTCTCAAAGCATTATCCTTTTCAAGTGAGGCTGCTATCACAAACAGATGGAGTATGAAATGGCAAAGGAAAAAAAACCACACAAACAAAAAAAACCCACACATTTTAAGATTTCCGACAGCAATGCAGGATGTGGAGTGAAAGAATTCTCAGGTGAAGGATGCCAGAGTGCTACTCAATTGAAGTAAAATGCAACAGGGACTGACTAAAAGCAAGAAAATGATCAAAAGTCTTACTTAAAAGCCAAGGTCTGTATGACAAATCCATATGCGCCATGAGAAAAGCGCACACACAAAGTCACAGGGTTGCATTTTCAAGCTTGATGACTTAAGACTTCTTTCCCAGAATGCCAAAAACTATTAGCATCTACGAGTTGCGCCATCTTCCCTGGGCTTTTTATGTGTGCCTGAATGCCTGCAGCACATGGCTTAGAAGGTGATGAATGAACAGCAGTTGGTATGGGGATCTTCTACGTAAATTCTTCCAGCTTCCAAGGAAATGCTTGTTCACCAAGGCAGGATTTCTACAGACTAGAGATGTCCATCTCGAAACTGCTCTTTGTCGACGTGGTGGGACTTGCTGTTGTTGCCACTGCACCTGGTCCAGTAACCAGCACAGGGGTTCACCATCCCAAACCCTGTCCCCCCGTGTCACGGATAGCATTTGACAGGAGAGAGGGAGAGTTTCCAAAGGTACCACACCGAGTGTTCATCAGACCTTATAATAAATGTTTGCTGGACTCTGAGGGGGCATCTCTTGAACAATGTAGACTGGATGTCCATAGTCACCACTGACTTTTTCATAATGAGGGCAAAAGACATTATCTGCAGTCCTCAGAGGTATGATAATGTCACTGGGCTCAGACCCATTGTTGTTTCCACTACGCTTTGGGGTGGCTAATGTACTAAGTGACAGTGTCGTCGTGTGCTGTGGTGAATGCTTCCTGTGTCTCCTTCGATACTTCAACAAAAGAACCACCAGCGTGATGATGATGATGAGGAATATGATGGACCCTGAAGCTATCCCTGCAAATAAGGCCACCTCTGTACCAAGGATACTGGTATGTCCAGCTTTGTTTCCATCTGAGTTGGAACCTAAAGTTAGAAGCAGGATGGGAAAAGGGAGGGAGAGAGAAAAAAGTGGAGACAAGAGATCTATGTTTAACACGAATACTGCTCCATCTTCGCTTTGTAGTACTGAAAGACTTAACTGTCAAGCTGACTTTGGCAAGCCAATTACCCTGCAAGATAGCAAGGCACAACCGGTCAAGCCCAGCCATTCCTATTAAGCAAGATGCTGCATGTCTGTTGCTCTCGCTTTTTATGTTGCTCCCAAACCGCACTGTGTTCTTTCCATCTATCATCACCCATCAGCAGAAAAGACTGGCACTGACAAGGCATCCCTTTGATGCACACTACCTCTTAACAGATGCTGCTCAGTTCAAGGCAGCTAATGGGGATGAAACAGGAATTCAGGACTTACTATTGCCCTGACACTGCGTTTATTTCATTTTCTTTTTTCCAGAGACCAATCTTGAGTTAATCTCTTTACAGTATTTCTGGGTGCCCTTTCTAGAGAGCCTCTCTTTGACACAAATCAGAAGCAATTAAAAGAAAGTAGAAGAAACAGAACATATCTGACAGCTGGGTAAATATCCCTTTGGGATTGTAAAATATTTTAAAACTATATAGATCATGTTAAATAGGAAATGAAGTATAAGGCATTTTGGCTCAATTAATCTAAAGAGCCAGCTAAGTTTTCAGAAGCATCAGTAAACCTGTCCTAGCACTTATATGAAGGGGTAACTGCTTATCTCATACCCATAGTTTGGAAACTTTGCTGGTTTTTTCTTTTAATTTTTCTTTACTATAACTCCAAGATTTCACCAGACAGCATGCTGGCTGGAGGATTCTCAGATTTGCAGTCCAAAATCAAAGTGTTCTGAGCTATGCTTATATCAGTGTTAAGACTTTACTCAGACTCCAGCTCCACAGCTAAATTCAGTAGCTCCCATGATTTTGTCCTTTCCTTTTTTTTTCAGTCTCGAGTGGAGCATCTTAGCTGACTGGAACAATACAGGACTGCCTTAATGTGTAGCAAGGGATCATGCAGCCAACAGAATTTCAATATGGTTATGGCTAATAATATAGCAAGAAGAAGGCAAGAAATTGGTTTGTAAATCACGCTGCAAAGGTGTTTCTAATTTAATTAATTAATTTTTGTATTGTCTCATCTAGAAAAGTTGTATCTTAGAATAAAATTGTCAATGACTGCTCAGGAACTGCCATGATTGCAGACAAAGTTATATTGATAAGAAGCTATGAAACAACCAGTGACAATAGCATGGATGAACAGTAATCTAAATTGACTATTCTTCCCTTCACACTATTTTTTCCCCAAGTGGCTCAAAGGAAGGGAAACAAAGTTGCACTGGTGACCAGAGGTTACTTGGCTTTTTTTTTTTTTGCTTCCAAGGTTTGGGGCAGAGATACCTTCCTGCTTGTTTGTTAGTGCTAGAAGGAAGGCAATGAAGATTCAGAATGTTATAGCCAGTATCAGGCAGACAACAATCACTAGATACAGTGGTCACCACAGACTTGGCTCAAGCTGCAGACATTACCAGGGTCACCATTCGTCCAGCAGCCAGAAATGGACACAACACTATTAGCTGCAATATGCTATGTATCTACCATGACCTCTGATAGGCAAAATTAAGAAGGTCTCCCCTTCCAATCCCCAAAGGGACATACCACTCACTGTCTACCATTCCTTTTAGCCCTGCCCACCTGGTTCTTCCCAACCAACCCTGTGGTTTATCTTTTCCTTTTTTCTGGGGAACTGGGCACATTTAAAAACAAAATGCTATTACTGGCCTCAATGCTAATACCATTCTGGTACCAAGTCAAAACATGGAATTATACTAACATCTTCAGGCTTTTATTTGATTGTCATCAGGTTATATTCAGCACTATTTTATTTTTTTAACTCGTTTTAAAGTATCTGGTTTGAAGTATTATGTTAGTCAATATAGTAAGCTCCTTCACTTTTGTGGGGGATAGGGCTGCAGGATACCTGCAAAAGTGGAAAAAATCTCTAGGAATATCCAGGTCCTCCAGCATGACTTTATGATCATATTGTACCAGACATTAACTATGAGCCGCACTGGAGGACCTAGAGATTCCTAGATAAAATATATTAATCAAATCTACAAATAATCAAATCCGCAAATGTTAAACCCACAAATGTTGAGTGTAGACCATATATTTTAAGTCCTTTCAAATTATTGCATTAGTGCTTATTGTCCTAAATTCATACCAGTGTATGTCAGATAGTCAGATATAGTTTGGGATATAGCTATTTTAATTAATGAATTAAAATAAAAATGAATACCCTAAAGCCATTTTTATTTTGAAAAGGTGGTTTTTGGGTCCATCGGCAGTCAGAGGCCTTGCCAGAACTAAAATGGTGCTTAAGAAAATTTCTTTACTATTTAGTAACCTCCAAGATTTTTTTAAAAAAATGCAACATAAGCTGCGTCACCCATCCAAATGCATCCAAGGGTTTATTTATTGGCATCATGTTAAAGACCACAGAACCCAAGTTATGTATGCTTAACTATGTGCTGGATTGCAACCATAAATGATCGTAAAGCCCGATTTTCCCGAAAACTAGTTCTGACAGTTACAAAACCCATTTAGATCAAAGCCTATTTCCAACAAATCAATATTCTTCCATGAAGTCATTAAGCCTCTATGGAATGCAAATGAAGAGAGAGGGGCTTGCTTTTGCAAAAATGTAATAATTTCTGACCTCCCACATTGGTGCTCACTTGTTTTCTCTCACTGTATCAATGCTTCTTTCTATTTATTAACAAATAAATGATTTGCTTGCAATCCAAGTGTCCATGGACAAATACCAAAGGACATTACTGATCTCCCCTAGTGTGGGTGAATGGAGACACTGGGAAGGTCTTCCCTTCATCAGAAACAGAAAGCTATGCTGGCTGACCAGGGCAAATAGTGGGGAACTTTGGATTTCCAAAACCCACGGCCCTTCCCTTTCCACAAATATGCCTGAAGTTAAGGAGGGAGACTATGTCAGCTATAAAACTGGCATGATCTCACTCTTTCTCCCACTGGAATCAATGAGTGAGGCTTGAAAAATTGGTGGCGGGGGAGGGGGGGACAGGGGAAAAGAAGAAAAGCCACACTGCCACATTGCCTTCCATATCTGGCATAAGCCCTGAAGTGCTTAGGAAATCCTCATTAGTCTCTTCACCCCACATCCCACCAAACAGCTATCACTGGATTGCTCTGTTAAACAAAATAATCTAGAAAATAACCTCTCCCGAGATCTATAAGCTCTCCTGTTTACCTGCATGATCCTTTACAAAGGGACTTGTTGTGGAGCTTTTCCCGTTGGTACCAGCTTCCTGTTCCGGGCGTTTAGTTGGATCAGCATTATTGGGGGACCCACCAGAATTGGGAACTGAAAGAACACAAATTATTCACTACAAACTAATAATATAGTGCTTTGTAAGCTGATTATCAATTATCATGAGGAATGAATGGCTTGGAACAGAAGATCCTTTATGCAGGAGGAGGAGATATGAGAATGTAATTTTCCACTTTAAAACAAGCTAAAAAAAAGCCATGTAGCTATTTCACAGATTTAGATTGTGGAGCTATCAGCAGAAAATGAAGGGGATTCCTGAAAATAGCAGAAAAACCTTTGCAGATGACATTTCAATGTAGTCAAGCAAGTTGATAGACTACTAAACCAATGTCTAATTAGATTTTTTTCCTCAAAAAACCATCTGCACAATAGGTTATCTGTGTATGAGAGAAGGCCAGTGAACAAAACCTTCTTCTTTCAATGAAGTTTTTGTTACAAGCAAGCTATAGAAATGTTAGCTCCCTCTCCTTTTCATTTGGTTTTGAATAATTTTGAGCTGTGAGACTGCATGTTAATATTTAAAATACAAGCAAGAACAACTGGAGCACATGTTGTTCATGGATGACCTTTCCCTCCAAGAGGAGCTCATCAATGAAGAGATCTTATTACATTTACTCTCTTCTTGAAAAATCTGTCTGTAACTTAGGTGCAGAAAATAGGCTTTGTCTTCAGAATCTAAAGGAAGATGAACTAATAGATTCCACTATTTCACACTGTTCCTTCTTATTTGAAGAAGCTGAAGCACTCCATGGGGTTAAAGACAGATCAAAGTTATTTGAAGTGGGAGGGAGGAGGTACAAACAGATGGTCTTTACCTTGTCCAACTTTCATTAGGATCTTCATGGCTTTTGTCAGGCACACCCCTCCCTCCTGGTTATCCAAGCCTTCTAGGGATCCATTGGATGTTGCTGATTGAGAAACAAAAACAAATGCCAAATGAAACACTTCAGGATACCACCAGGTGTGGTCACACAAAACAAAGAGTACCTGAAAACTGATGTAATCTGTCCAAATTCTCTCCTGCTGTTCAGGTTTGGCCAGAAAAGGCGGTAGCATGTTGACAGCCAAGAGAACAAATACAAAGCCAAAGCAGGCTGTGTTAATATATGTAAACGCTGGAACACATTCTCAGGTTGCAATTTCATCCAGGCACTTTTCTTTCATAAACAATCAACCGTCTTGTTATTGTGCCACTGCTTGAAAGAGTAGACGTTCCCCGCACCCACACTTGGCTGGGAAAAAAGGGTGAGTCCTGCTAGGCTCAGTAGAGCAAGAAATTTACTTCCTTTCACTCCTCTAAAAACTAGAACTCTATCAGCAGATGTGCATGCAATATAAAAGAACTGAGTCCATGTTGACTTTGTTTAAATGTCCAGCTCTTTGTTGATACATTTCAGTATCTGTCAAAGTTTTGCTGATTTAAACTCTTTAGATGGGTGCTATCTGTGTCTGTTGGCCTAAATCTGCCATAACCTTAGGTGCACAACACATCAGAAGCAGCTAGTTGTAAAGGGATTGTACAACTCATCAGAAAGGAAACTCAGCATCCATTTCCTTCTTTTTCCTTTCTGCAAGAGGAGAAATTTTGTTCTGGCCTATATTTAAACACCCAAGGATTCTAAAATTTCCAATAAGCAGATGCACAAGCACAAAATTGTGTGAGGACACAAAATAAATGCAATTGGTGAACATTTAATATTTGGTAAGGGGAACTACCAGTATCTTTTTTCATCTGTGATTTCTTAGCTTCTATGTGTTTGCTATTTCTTAGCTCATCTCTACCTTAAAAGAAAGGTAACATAGAGCTTAAAGTTTTAACCAATGGTTTTGAAATATATAGTTGTGAACATTAAGCATAAGCAGTGTTATTTTAAAGTGATAATTCGCATTGATTATCATTTTAATTAATTACTGAACATTTCTATGGGGTTCAAACTATTATTATTATTATTATTATTATTATTATTATTATTCAATTTAAGGGCCTCACCACTGGATATTTTGTTTTGTTTTTTAAAAATCTTAATGGTAAACATTTATAATGGAAGTTTCTTAAATGATTTTTTATACAGTTACCAATGCTAACAATTCCTATCCCCACCACTACCTTGCTCCAATTTATACAGCCTCAAAACCTGTCCCTAAATGGCAGGGAAAACATGAGGATCATCTGAGAGCCAACTGGAAAGGCAGAAACTACACAAGAAGGATGTTAGAAGGATGGAGTTGGGCACTTCAATCACTGGTTGAAAAGGAGTAGGATGCTCTAAAAGCCATGATGGACTGAATGGAAAACTGAAGATCATCAACGTGATTTTTGGTACTCAGAATTAACTGCAGTAGATTTTGCAGGATCTACTGCAAGAATCTTCAAGCTGCAACCCATCTTCCACACTTAGCACAAGAAATAGCAGTGCTGATCTTTAATGAAAAGAATGTTGGTACCCTTTATATTAGCAATTGATTATAGTCCTATTAAATTTGATGTTGATATATTTAAAAGCCCTCCCTCACAGTTATGTCTTTTCAAGCACATTTGCAACATCTGGCCATTTACTAAAATATTAAAAGAAAAAAGGAAGACTATGAAAGTACTTGCAGGGGGTTCCTATGGAGAAAAAGCAATTAAATGGCACTTCTGGCAGCAAGAAGAATCTCCTTTTCATCTAATTTAGATAGGGGGCCCATAAGTCTTCTCTTTCTTTAGTTATTCCAGATCTTTCCTTGGGGATTTTCCAAAAAATCAACCGTACATACATTTCCTATTTCCTTCATCAGGCTGTATTCCTCGTTTTCACTGTGTCTTCCCAGCCCCATGTTGATATTTTTCTTTCTCTAATCTTCTCACTAGCTGCAAAAACTATTAACTTTTTCCTTCCCTTTGATCTACTTCTTGCTTTTGTTCTACTTCTCCCTCCTTGTGGGTGTAACATAATTCCTCACGACATGAACTTCCCTTCTTGTGGCTCCCTCTTGCATTGTGCTCAAACCCAGAGGTTTCAGCCACTAACTCTGTTTTTCCATCTCACACAAACAGTGTCAGACAAATTTCACCTCTTTGTTTTCCAATTATGTGTGTGTGTACTTTTTAAAGTAATTTGGTGGGGGGGAAATGGATCCAATGTGTACACTGCACTGCAATGCCAAGAAAATAATTGAGATGTATAGTTTTGTTTTCTGATATCTTTTTCTCCCTCCCCAGAGAAAAGAAAATCAATACAAAGAAGCAGTTTTGGACATAAATCAAATATCTTTTTGCTATGTTCTTTATGACCTCTTTTCTTCTGCCCTTGTGACTGAACATTTGCTAACAGTATACCAAAATAGCAAAATTGAAGTTCAGCAGAGAGGACAGCTAATAAACAGTGACCATTTTGCTCCTCTTAGTGCTAAGCTACAGAAATTCACCTTCCTTTACCTACCTTTCCTGATTAAAATGTAATAGAACCAAAGTGCAGTCAGTGTCATTCTGTTCTTCAAAAAAAAAAAAAAGACTTGTAGGCAAAATAAATGTAGTCTAAACAATCCACAGCTTAACTACTATATGACAGCAAAGACAGCTGAACAAGAAACCCAAAACGACTATAGAAGGGTTATTATACCACTGCATTCTTTAAGGATCTCAGTCTGTCTTGCTTCCTCCAAATCAGTTTTAATGCTGGTTTTGCAGAAATATTCATAAGACCCTCCTAAAATGTACATTATAATTTAACAATGGAAAACACAAAAGTCTCAAGAATGATTTTGCTCAAATATTCCCAATGTCGGAGGTTTCCGAACAGTTCAGCCCTAATAAGAGATATGTACACATACATAAGTAGTAATAATATGTATGGTGATACAAAAGAATTGATGACATTTTTAAAAAAATGTATTAAATAGATATTATTTATTGCTTATTTCATATATATTCAGAGATTTCCCCTTACATTTGTGTGTTACACCTACACACTGCATCTGACACACAGTTTGGAAAGCTCTGATCTATGCTGACTGTTGGCTAGTAGAACTGGAGGAGTCAGTACCTCCTTTTGGCATCAATTCTTTGTAAATGTCATCAAATAAGTCTCATTTGCTTTATTCTTGTCAAAAAAATATGTGTTTGATAATCGTTTGGATATGGACATTTATAGAAGTTAGGGTTCCTCATTAATTTTATGGTGCTACCATTTTGGAATGCCCCATACCAGTGATGGTGACCTGATTATCAAGTGCTTTGTTTATTATATGATTACCAAATGGAGAGTCAAGCATAGTGGTCTGAGTGTTTGGTTATCATAAGTTGAAATCAACTTGAAGACACTGAAAAACAAATCAGGTGGAGAAGAGCAATTTTGATTTGTTCTTGGTTATCAGTAAACTACAAGGTATAATGTGTCATTTCATATTCCTCTAATTGCTGCTTAAAGTTGAGTGTGCAAACACCCCCCCCCCCAAAAAAAAAAAAAAACCAAGTCCAGGGTATTCTCAAATACTGTATCTCTCAGAATACAGGGTGATTCCCCCTTATTGGGGAAATACAAAAGATTCCTAAAACCTTCTGCATTAGATAACCACTTCCATCTTTGGTGAAAAAGGGTTAGTCACTCATCCAGCACCTGCTGGGTACTTGTTTTGCAACCCTTCCATGTTCTCTCCCCCGCCTCCCCCCCCCCCAAACTTTCCACAAGCATAAATTACTTGTGTGGCCTTCCGCAATTCATTCTGTCTTTCTCATTATCTTGTCATGTAAGGGTTAGAGCAGGAGTAAATTTAGGGTAGACTTTAGGTTGCTTGGATCTACTTTGTTTTTAAATAGAAACTCAAGATCCAAGCAAAATAAGATGAAAGAAACATTTAACAGGACAACACTAAACATTTATTTTAAATACAAAAATTGAACTGAAATCATTATAGTTTGTATAAATGGCACATCCTTCTACTCAATATCTTCTTTATTTCATCATCCTAATTTTAGGGGGGGAAAGCTGTTTTATTGTTGCCATTATTTGAATGAGCCATTCTCACCAATCTATGCAAACATACGAGATCCACCAATACATTCCAATTTAACATCTGGACACGTATAACTCAAAAATATTCTTAGCAGGAAGTTAAATAAGACCTTTATTATCCATTTCATAACAGACACGAGAATACCCTGACTCGACCAAGATATATGGTGATCAAGTCCATTGCCACCTAGTGATTCAAAAATATAATAATGCTATCCACATCCAATTCTCCACCTGCAGTCACATATACCAATGGCCCTCCAAATGTTTTGAACTTCATCTTGCTATCTCAGATAAGACTTCCAAAACAGTGTGAGCTCAGAAGATCAAAGAGCTTTATTGATCTATATCACTACAGGACTACTGAGAGTCAACATGTAAGTAAAATGCCAGCATCACAATATAAATGAAACAATAATAGTATGTTAAATGACTCCAAATTTCTATTCCAGCTGACTAAGAAGATCAGTGGCCTTTCCCACATTTGCTGACACAGCAAACAAGTGAAGACAAATCTAAGTTTCCAACATGGATAAAAAGATTTAACTTACTGTTCTGTGAGAGAACAATTCTCCCCTCTTTTCTCTCTCACAGAAATATAAATATATGGCATAAAACAAGCTATCCATATAAAAAGGCACAATAACTTGCAACATGGTTGAACAGTTGGCTAAAATTCTAGAAATTTAAGACACCCACTTGCAAATAGAACTGTCTAACTTCTCATTTAAGAACAAAACAAAAATAAGGCAGTACTTGTGACCTACTGTGCCAAAAGCAACTTAATATCGATGTAAGGATAATCTGTTTTTAAAGTGCTTTCAATGTGCTCTGTAATTTCATTTTCTATTTTCATATTTTGAATGGTTTCTGAGCTGCCTTCAGTATCTCATATTAAGGTAGAAAATCTGGAT